TAAAAAATGCAAATATTGTTACATGATATACAATAAGTTGAAAAATGCACTTAAAGTACACGTCTATTATATTTCCTTAAAATTCATGTTTTGACGTGATTTAACACATATTTGTGTTTTATTATTAAAATATTTGAGACATAACTATAAATAGTTTTTAAGACATACTTTTATGAATAAATATAAATTATTTGCAAAATTAATGGCAAAGAATAATATAAAATACAACAAAACTTGTTGAGTGATGTATTGTATACCGGATTTTCATATTACAGTTATTGCATTTCATTAGAATCTAATCATTAGATGTGATATATTGTTAAACTTGTTATAAACTATGGCTTATAATTCAGTAAATGCCTAAAGGCTCACCAATTATGCAATTAATCAAACAATTTTTGCCACTAATTTCAATATGGATTTACCTGTATAATGATTTGCAATTATTATATTGTTAGCATGTGTGTTAAAATAAATGCTGCAGGTGCAGTAGCCTTTTTACAATAATCATGTGTAAAGTAACATGTTCATATTTATTATTAATAAAAATATTGTATCTCAAACTAAATTACCATGTATTATATGAATTTATTTTTTAGTAAAAATTTTGTATTGTAGGTAAAATACATTTTCGATTTAGTGTCAGTAATCTCTTTTATATTATTTAAATAAAATTAGATTTTGTTGACAATAGATTAAATTTAAAATATTTTCTATATTAACTTTTAGATCAAAGCTAGAAAAATATTATTACATTTTATTTAAAAATATTTCGCAACTTACTAAAAATATATCATAAACAAAGTAAGTAACAAAACAAAGTAAATTTAGAACAATTTTATGATTTATTTTTTTGGAAACATAACATGCTTGATAAAAATAATATATTTACTTTTTCCAATTATTTAATTTGTAATTGGATTTTCATTTAAATTCAACACATATCACGATGGATTTAATAATTATTATATTTAATGATGTGGTTATTCAACGCAATTTTATTTCTTATGTAATGTATTTGAGACAACAATTTTAAAATTATAACTTATTTCGCATTTCTTTTTTTATTAATAAAATAATTTCTAATTAATAAGTCTAATATTGTATCGATTGATGAATATTACAAGAATAATACTATTGACACAATTATAAAGAGACAATTTGTAAACGCGATTGTAAGAGCGCCGTCAGTTGTGGGGGTCGGCGAGGGATCAGTTGGATTCGGTGGAGTTGGCGGTGACGTCGGCGGAGATGTCGGCGGAGATGTCTCTGGTTGTGTTGGCGGTAGTGTTGGCAGTGGTGTGTCTGCTGTTGGCGGTGTTGTTGGCAGATCTGTTGGTCCACCTGTCACTCCAGTTGGTAGAGTGGGTTCAGCAGTTGGTCCAATGGTCGGACAGTTATCAGGTCTAAGACCCTTCAAATATATTTAAAAGAATGGTAAAAATAACAAGAAGTCATATAAAATAATAAAAATTACCGAATAGTTGTCACAAACAGTTTCCAACAGTTTGGTCTCTGCGTTACTGTTTTGCACGTTATTAATGGTAATCCACGGCACTATTCACAGGACATTAATTAATTGATTGATTGCATAAAAATATAAAATAGTCAATACGTTTGGTTGGCTTCGCTAAATCGGTTTTCTGTTTCATTTTGAGATAAGTGTTGATATTGTCGGGTGTATTGATTGTGGCACAGGACACGATCTGTGGCCAGGCTTCTAATACCCAAACTTTATTGGCGCACACATTGCCCGCTTCCGCCGGGTTTGTACTCCAGGTTTGCTCACTATAGAAGCAGATAATAAATTCAGTGATGTGTAGCACTCCTCTCGGTTTATCCAAGTACTGGTCGATAGCACATGCCTTTCGATGTGTTGAGTAAAATTTAGATTTAATGTTTTTGTTTCAAAATTATACAAATTCTTGTTTCAATGTTCTCACATGTATTCTGTTGGCTAAGCATTCATTTTCTTTGGGACACGTAAATGGGTTTTCAGCGTCGGCTTCATTATAGATGGTCTGACCCCACGGTATAAACAATGAACTCAATATTGTCTGCAGTCTCGGTGCCGCACGAGTCGGAGTAGATTCCGCGTACAAGGGTTTCAATTCATTGATAACCCAATTACGAGTGGTCTCATCGCTTGAATAGTATAATCCAATGTTAACCAAGATTTTACCAATTGAGGAGCAGACAGGTGGTTTAACCAACTGGAATGTTTGGTTTTGTTATAAAAGTTTTATAACTTCATAACATTGATTAAATTTTCAAATTTTAAAACCAAATTTACTGACCGGATATGAATCACATATGGAATGCACAAAATTAGTTTCCGCTTCGATCTTATATGTATTGTCAATAGTGACCCAGGGCACTTTGGATATTTTTGGATTCAATACATCTGTTTTCTTAGCCAATTCTTCATATAATGTGATGCCATCGGGTCCGGTGGCGCACGGATTGATTAAATCGGCCCAATAATCGCCGATTTCCTGTTCAATACACTGTTCCGCATCTGCAATAGGATTCGCTGAGTTCTTGGCGAACACACAGACTAAGAATCCAAGCGTTCGGTACCGGCTTTCATCCAAATCCATGGCATTTGAATGATCGAGTTTATCCCAAAAATTATGAAAAACGCACGCCTTTATGGATAGTAAAACTTTTTGTAACTTTTTCATTACATTTGAGTATTAAAATGAGTTTTAATATTTACGTGAACTTTGTTTGCGTTACACTGGACTTCGTTTTGAGGACATTTAAAGCCAGTGCCGTCTCGTTGTGTGAGACCGAAGGGAACAAAATCAAGTGCCGCTAATTCTTCAAAGTATGGATGATATGGTTTGAGTTGATTCGCCACAAAATTGGCGACCGATGTCTCCATGTTTTGGTAATTCACGGAAACGGTTATCAATTCGGGAATACATTGAGACGGCTTATCAGTCTGTCGTATATTGATGTTAATTATATGAATTAATTTTAGAAAATCATATTAAATAAAATACAAACAAACCGCATAGAAAATTTCACATATTTCTTGTATCAGATTGTCTTCCGCTTCTAAATCGTGTTCTCCATTCACTAAAATCCATGGGATGTGCGATAACTTAGGATTTAAGTTCTCCACTCTCTCGGCGTAAGTTTGAAGAATTTGGTCGCCTTTACTCTTAGCACAGGTGTCAATATCAACCCACGGATCGGTAAAGTATTCATTGGCACAGTTTTCGGTCACTTTCGGCACATTTGTCATATCGGAACCAAAAACGCAGACCAAGAAATTTAATGTCTCCACGGGTTTACTCTCCATAAATAGAGTTATAACACACGCCTAGATTTAAAAGTGTTTGCAAATAAAAGCAATTAAATTTAATGACAACTTTTAATCACAATTAAAAATTTATAAACTGACATGATGCTTAAACGTATGGCATTCCTCATCGTTGGGACACTGGAAGGTATTGTCGCTGTTCTTAACGGTTCTACCGAACGGAACAATATCTAAAGTGATGATCTCATCGACGTGTGTCTTCAGATGATTTAATTGGGCGACAATAAAGCTTTGAGACTCAGTGTTCAGAGGCTCGTAATGTATTTCGACGGTAGGCTTTGGGAGGGCGGGTGGTGGTGCATAACACGCCCACGGCTTCCATTTGCTCTTTATGTTCAATGGATTTACAATGAATTAGAAATCATTACTATTTTAATAGTTTTGGCAAAATATACTTCAAATGAGTCGCAAACAGCGCGGGTTAAGTGCACTTCAGACGCTTTGCTGTGTTTTCTTTCGATGACAATCCATGGCGTGTATCGGAGAGGAGGCGCGAGAGACGACACCTTATCTTTCTGTTTGGCGAAGTACTCGTCGCCGTCAGTAACGCATTCACGTATTTGTATCCACTCGTCGCCAAACGCCCGCTCAACGCATTCATCGCCCGCTTTCATCGGATCCGATAACCAATTTTCG